TCAAACCATTCATAGGCGATGGCCCTAACGGCATTCCGGAATTTAAGGAATTTTGTAAGTTCACAAAGCTTCATATTTCAAATAAAACCTATGCTAGTTTTGAGGGTCTTGGACAGTGATCTTCAATCATAATTACGATGACATGAATGCGGAATTACCGATTTAGGCGATACTTGTATGCAAGAATAGCGCTAATGCACCTTTTTCAGCACATTAATAACTACAGAATACACCTACGGGCTTGGGCTTTTATTTTGCCCTTTTGCTTATGCAGATGTAAATGCACAAAGAAGGTGCATAAACCCTTTCATGTAATACACTTGATGGCAACAGCAAATTGTAGAGGTTCATACAAGGTGATCATGTATAAGAAATCTAGCCTTGTTGACCTTGACCTTAGTGACCTACAAAATGTAAAATTGGAACAAGCCATTTTAGACAATGACCAAAATCTAATGATGACATAATGTCTGTTGATTGGTTCAAATGATGGCCCTAATATTGCTCACCTGAATATAAAAAAACTCTTCATGACAAGGAACACGTAATATTGTAAACTATAAACAAAAGCAGATATATATGCTAAATCTTAAAATGATATTACAATGTTTATATTTGTATCTAAAATAGTGCACATTTAAAAATATTACTGGTTATTACCGCTAGGAGTAAACAATGGTTACTAAAGAAATCATTGGTCGCTATACAAAATAAATGGTATCCTTGGATGTCAGTGACTACTATGAAATTCAAGAGTAGATTCACTTGTTGAGCACTATGGAAAGTTAATGTTTGCCATGGAAGTCACTGGTTGCTATTAAATTTTTCAGTTAGCTATGAAAAGTCGATGGCTGCAATGAAGTCACTGGTTGCTATGAAGGTCAGTGGTTGCTTTGAAAAGTAAATGTTTGCTATGGGAGTCATTGCTTGCTATGGCAAGTTAATGGTTCCTATGAGATCCACTTATTGCCATTTGAAACCACTGTTTCCTATGGAAGTCAATGGTAACTGCAGGTCACTGGTTGCTATGGTAGTCTATGGTTGCTATGGAAATTCAGTGCTTGAAATAGAGGTCACTTGTTGCTAAGGATCAACAATTGTTGCTATGGAAAATCATGGATGATATGTATGTCACTGCCATGCTATGGAAAGTCTATGGTTGCCATAGAAAGTCACTGGTTGCTATAAATGTCATTGGTTGCTTTGGGGAGTTAGTGGTTGCTATGGAAGTCAATGGTTGCTATGGAAAGTCAATGATTGCAATATTGGTCAATGGCTGCTAAGAAAAGACATTGGTTGCTATGTAAGTCAATGGTTGCTATGGAAAACTACTGGTTGTTATGGAAATTAATGGTTGCTATGTAACATCAATCGTTGCTATGGGGGTAAGTAGTTAATAAGGAAAGTCACTGGTTGCTATGAGAATTCACATATTAAGAAAATCTTTGTTCCCCCAGGGTGGGGCCGATTTTGACCCAAGGGCTTTAACTTGAACAATTTTTGTCCACCAGACAACATTTCATACCAAATATCTAAGCGAAGTCTTTATAGTTTAACAGAAGACTATATGTTTTTTCTTTATAAATATAAGGAAAATCAATGACCTCATTGGACCGTGCCAATTTTGAGCTTAGTGGTTTTATTTGAACACACTTTGTACACCCACTAGAAGATGTTTCATGCTAAATCGCACAATACGTTAAGTTCGCTATCGGTAACCAAAATTGTTTGGACAATACACATTCATTTACAAATTTGTTCCATTTTATTAGATAATTGCAGTTAATTATGTTAAGAAATTATATTGTATGTCAATATATTGTTAAAGCTAAAGCGGATGTTACATAACTCGATATACAGGTCGAGCGGTAAGACCATAGCAATTATCTCCCGTGCACAATCAAATCTTTAAATATTACTATTGTCAAAAATGGTGTATGTAAAAATGCATGTAAAATTCACACTTTCGTTGCCAACATGATTTAAATTCAATATTCAATTGAGAAAGATTTTTAATCGGTCAAATTATCTATTCACTAGTGATAGATCTGGTCTAATATGTAAAGTCATTACGTCACACTTTATAATTTTTTTTAATCTTATGCTGCATATATACTATTGACACATATGACGAAAATGTGAATTATTATAAGCATGTACATCATGTAATTAGTGAATATATGTTTCCATTTCCTATGTAAAATGTGCAACTATAATGCATGTATAAGATCATGTCAATTTAATATTGATATACATTTTGCATAATGTACCACATGGGTCTATGACCTTCTGGGAAAAGATAAATTAACTTGTATCTAAGCTCTAGCTCTTTTGAATTTTTAGAAGAAGGGTTTTTAAGGTAGACCAAACCTAATGAGCGCTATAAAGAACTGTAAAATTGGCAGCATACGACAGTTATATCCCTTAAAGATCACCTGTATGGAAAATTTAATTAAAATTTACTGTGTGGTTAATGAATGGACATTTTTCTGAACTAAAACTTTGCTATTAGAAAGGCTCTTTTTCAGAAATGAGGAAACTAAATAATCTATAATATCATCATTATGAAAAATGTTTTCCTTTTGCTCATTGTTAAGAAACAAAAATTAACATTCAGGTAGCAAATAACATGAGTTAAATGATTGTTTCTAAACAAAATGTTTTTAGTATGAATAACAATGTTACACTAGCTCACCCACATTTGTTTGACCATTTCCCTATGTAAAAAAACCTTATTCAAAATATCCCTAAAATAAATAATAATGGGGGGCTATTTTCAAAATTTGCATTATTTTTTTAAAGCATATTGGTTGATCTTGAAAAATATAAAATACTTTTTCAGTATAGTTTTTATTTTATTAAACTTTGTAAATATCTGAATCATATTTGCTATTAAATTTGGCATAATTTAGCAAATAAATACATACAATAATAAAATAATTAAAATCAAACACTTTTTTCTGTTCTTAAGGGATCTGAGAGATACATAAACAATGTTAAAAAGAAAATTAAGAGAGAAAAAAGTTGCCCCTTCTGGGGTTTGAACCCACGCCCCTCAGTTTCAATGACTAGCCTTTTTGAATACTCTTTAAAGTGGAGGTAATGCAAAAGGGTTGGTTTACTTTTTCCTAGTTTCTTTTTAGAAGGAGAGCTCTTACGTTTGTTTTTTTTGGTTGCCATGGCAACCAGAATTTAACATTGAATGGAATTCATTCTTTGAACAATTTTGAAAGAGCTTCAAGCCAGAGACATTCCTGCTCAGTTTTAACAATATTGCCTAAGTCCTTTTGGGTGAGATGTAATTCTAAGAAAAAGTTTGACTCCTTTATGGACACATGTAGAGTGATCACAAAGGCTCACCCTTGAGCATTTTGTGCTCAGGTGAGCTAAAAATGATAATTTGACAAAACAAGGGCAATCAGTGATCACATGTGTCACCTCATGATAGCCAATTGCATGTTGTAGCTACTGTGTATGAGGAGACACAAAATCATTAACAGGACACAACGACTTTTTGTATCGCCTCTACGGAGTAGTGGTGACATATAGAGATCACTTCTACATCGTCTTTCTGTCTGTCAGAAATTTTGCACCAGTAGTTTATGAGGAGAAATCCAGACAAGTTTTGTGATGGACGGACAGACAGACGACGGAAAAGTGACCCCTTTATGTTGCCACTACTCTGTAGAGGCGACACAAAAATGTTGATGCAAATATATACGTTGGACAACAAGCAACCCATAAAGCTCATCATGGCTACATTTTGGTAAGTTGTGACTAAAATATTTTAGTTTTTGAGATCTTCTCTCCAATGTTTTACTTATTTTTCATAAATGTTGTCATACATTAAAGATTGGAACAAAAACTATTTATTTTCACACTGATCTAAGTTCTAAGTTGTGAATTATAACAGAAAAAAGACTGACAAAAATCAACTGTTCAATAATTAAGCTATGATATAATTATCTGTGTGGATCATAGGTTTATTGCCGGTAAGTTATTGAGAAATTCAGAATGAAACATGTTTTTATCTATTCATAGCAGTGGTTACCATCCTTGATCCATGTATTAAGGAGAGATCATTGTGTAGAGATTGGTTTTATCAACTTTTAAAATTATCTCCCTTTATAGTCATATCTTCAAAATTTAAAAACAAACATATTGTTATTTTTCCTGGTGTTACATGGTGAAATGATAGTTTCATAGTTTTAACTGACAATGTCATACATAGAATTAAAACATAACGCTACAAAATAGCTACAAGATTATTTAAGGGAGAGCATAAACTGTAGATCAAAGTCAGTTACTTCCTATAGTTTGTAATTTTCTCAATAACATAACCAGAGTAAAGAACCTCTTTTAATATGTGACTTACATCTTCATTAGTTCATTCATGAAATTGTTACATTAATATACGATTGTATTTTGATCATTTTGTTTCTAAAAAGGAGCACTAGTTTTTAAAATTGTTCTAGATTTTTTTTATAGTACCACCAAGATGTTCATACAATTCAACTTCTGCAAAGAAACACCCTTTGCAACACAAACATTTTGATTGTGGTTAAGAGGTGTTCCTCTAATACAGCTTACATTTATTGTGACTTCATAATTTTGGAGAAATTGATATTCTTGTTGTTATACAAGAGTATTGCTTTACATGAAGTCGATTATCATTGAGTTACTTTAAAAATGGCGGCGCCCACCTAGATATAACACTGAAAATATCACTGATATTAGGTATTGTAATCTTTTATTTTCTAATTGTTTTTAATGTGGTTTCCTTTCAATATAATACACATGTAGTCTATAGATTGGTGGGGTCTTTGACTTCCCCGTATAAAATAAGAAACCTCCTATAACCGAATCTGTATACACGTATCTTTTGTACTTACCTTTTTTAATTCTCCTATAGAGCATGTGAAATTCTAAGCCTTTTAATAATGCTTAAATATGAACAATTTCAAGAAAAAGAAGAAAAAAAATGAAAACAAAGACTAGCATATGATACAAATCGTTTATTGCAAATAAAAGTACATGAATAATTAGGCAATCGGATTGGCGTCTAATTCGTCTCAATCATTTCCTGAAACAATAATTTAATAACTTAAAACAGAACATGATTTAAGTTTCAATTCTATTCCGTTTGAACATTTTTTATAAATCATATGAACTAGTAGAATGCAAGAAAGAAGGTTAATAATACTAAGTCGTTGAATTCAAACCACTTGTACCTCACGGCTGAGAGTTCGAATCTCGCAAGGGACTTTGGATTCGTTCTTTTTAGGAAGCTATCTTACTGAAGCTTACTGAACGTTGGTGGTTCTACTCCGTGTCTGAAATGATGAATAGAGTGGTAACTTAGGTCTTCCTTCGTCAGTAGGTTTGGAAAGTCGCCATTCGACATGTACAGTGGTACGAAGTAAAATCAATATAAAAGAAAAAAGTACAAGGACGTTTTATTTAAATATTGTACATTTAAATGACTATTAATCAATAACATTTTGTATGAAAATCGACTGTATACATGTATAACCGTTTGAATACACGAATAATCTGTTACTGAGACTTTACCTTCCTGATCGACACTTGTCTATAATAAACATGTATATTAACAAAATCCGCATGTCCTTCTGCACTGGAATCTCATATAGAACATTTTGTTACTGCACATATTCTCATCACAGTTCGGCATTCTATCATCACATTCCACTGAAACATAGTTAAAACATTTTACTTTCAATGGTATATATAAATACAAAATTGATCCAAATCATTGACCGTCCTCCGACTTAGCTCAATAGAGATACAGGTATTATCGAATTAGTTATCTAGGGGTCACTGGTTAGATCCTTAGACGAGGCGATATTTCGCAGCGGCGTTAAAACCCGTGCATCAAATCTAATGGTCATTTGCCTCTTTCCCGCTGGTGTGATTCGTAGCTGGTCATATACGGAGAAGTTGCCAATTTTGATTTGGTATTCAGAAAAGGCTGATAGGTGGATCGATCGCCGTAATATGATGATTTAAAGTAAACGTGTGTAAAATTGGCGTAAAACCAGAAAACAAAACATTAATATTTTTCTGTTAATCATTCATTAATCACAGTGTTTTTTTGTTATCCAGGTCTTTAATTTCAACTTTATTTTAGTATCAAAATGTTTCTTTAAAGCTGTTACAATAATAAAGAAAATACAGAAACATAGTTAACGGAAGCTAACTAAATGTATGTACTTGAATGTATGTAGAGAAGATGTTTTTTAAACTGTGAAAGACTTACTGTTTTCCTCCATGTTGTCATAGCCATTGTTGAAATCGTTGTTCATGTAATATCGGTTGTAGTTGTCATTTCCATACCCGTTGTTCATGTAGTTGTTCATGTAGTAACCTCTGTTATAGTAGTAGTCATTATTGTAGTCATTGCCATTCCAGTAGTAACCTCTGTTGTAGTAATTACCATTACCGTTCCAGTTATTGTAGTAAGGATGATTCATGTTGTTGAAGTAACCGTTACCATTATTGTTGTTGTAATTATCCATGTAGTAACCTCTACTGTAGTAATTGTTTCCGTAGTTTCCATTCTGGTAGTATCCCCTGTTCCTGTAGTAGTCATTGTTGCCATAACCGTTGTTGTTGTTCATGTAATAATTGCCATTATAGAAGTTATCATCATAACCATACCCATTGTTGTAGTTCATATTATAGCCATTATTGTTGTTCTTGTAATCATTTCCATTCCAACCATTGAAACCATCACCATTCCAATTGTTCCCACCAAAGAATTCCTCGTTTTCATTCTCATTGTATTCCCTGTAATGAATTAAAACCCATGACGTATTTATCTAACAAAAATGCATTTACATAGCATCAACCTTATGCTCCCTCTTAAATAATAAAAAAATAACAACCTGTATGTGACTTTAGATTAATCCAATAAAGATCATCAAAGCAGAATAAGAAAATTGTAGGGCAAACATAGCTGTTTTTGTTCTACATTAGGTGGATCACAAAGAAAGCAAATCTCTACTGGCATTCTATTGGAACAAATCGTCATATTAATTATGTTGTTCCTTGCAACGATCAAAGTGGCAACCAAGAAATCCATTTTTAAACAACAAAACTTACATTTGATCGTAAAAGCATCCGAAAAACCACATGTTCTGGTAATTTTGACCATTAGCATCAAAAGACGGGCACCAGTTCATGGCACATCCGACTGAACGGCTTCTGTACCAGTCCATCTGTATAGAAAAAAAAACAAATGATAAAAAACCGTTGATTCATATATTATCAAATTTTTATAGTATTTCAGTAAGCATGTCTTGTGTTGTTTATTATCTAATATGATATGTTGTTATCCAAATAAAGAGACAACAATGAAAGTAATTACCATGATTTTTGTTATAAAAAGTATTCAAATGTAATTTAGTCGTATCTACTAACCTGATAGGAATTTCCTTCATTGTTTCTCCAGTCAAATTGTGACATTCCATTGTACCAATCATTAAAGGCTCTACGTATATTGTAGTAATGATCACCACCGCTATAGTAGGCATAGTGTTCACCACGGCTGTAATATCCGTTCCCCATGTTACATTGTGACATACGTCTGTCTGCCTCCTCTGCTAGAGAACTGTCCCATTCCTATAATTGTAAATTTGTTATCAGAAAGATGCATCGAACAAACATCTGTTAAAAAACTACAACGGGAAAATGTTAACACAACAATATAGTCATATTACTTTTTTTCCCTGCCTCCTTCCTAATCAACATACTTGCGGCTATTTAGTTTAAACACTATTTTATTTTTAATCCATACATTTACATAATAAAATACATACAATAAAATTTACGGATTGAGTAGGAAGCTTGTAAAGGTTTTTTGAAAACTCTATCCGTGGCTATTTATAGACAGAGTCCACCTGGATTATGTCAAGCTCTTTTTTTTCAAAATATGACGGAGAACATACAGCACAAAATATTTGAACACTTTAGATGCTACATACGAAATTCTCAGGGAAACCAACATGATCAGCAATTTTAATTATAACCTTAAGACCTTTAATGCCCTTTAAACATAACGCTCTCTATATAAGAATAGTCAATGTTACGCATGCTCCTAGAATTAAATAATGAATGTTTGTTAATGGAACTTATTCAGATTTTTTAAATGTATGAAGTTCTTTTTAACATGTCTTTGTCTTTATTTTCATTAATTTGACCACTGGCAATTATTTTAGTGGATAAACATGGCATAACATAGGGCATTGAAAGAAATGAATTTAATTTTAAGGGATAAAGAAACACACACAAAACAACAACAAAAAACAACAATCTTCAGAAAAGAAATAAGTGTTATGTAGATATGTAGATGTAGATTGAAAAGAAATGGGAATGAAGCCATATATATTCCTTATAATTTTATATTTTTTAATTCATTCATTATTTAAGATACGAAGAGTACTTGTTGATTATTCAGTATAGTATTTGTTTCAAGTGACATAATTTTCTTACCATTCTATCCCATTCCTTTCCATTGAACCATCCTTGTCTAAAATTATTGTGCCGGCCAACGATATATTCCATATATCTTTCAGCAGATTCACATTGTGCCCCCACGACCAACAGCAGTAATAATATAGATTGTGTCGCAAACATGATTTCTTCCCGTTGTTTTACACTGTGGAAAAAATCTGTGAACTTGGCTTTATATACTTTGTCTTTACCACAAAAATGAATTATATATGGTTATTTTAACATATAGCATGGTTAAGAATGGTCATATTAGGGAAATCGACAAATGGTAATTAATTCTTATTGAATACAACTCTAATATTTCTCGTTCCAAATATGCATCACTATGGAATAAATATGATATTTTGGCATTATCAGAGCTGTCGGCATCTCTTAAAACAAAATGCCAACTTTGGAATAAAGAGAACAAATAATTCATGCGTGTATGTGTTCTTAATTGCCACAAACTAATTTGATGTGATACATTTAAGATATTCCGCGCTACTTGTAAGTTATATTGTGCACTAATTGTTCCTCAGCCGACTATAGTTCAAATTCACGTCGCAAATGCAACGTGTTATGGATATTTGTTCCGGTTAAGATAGCAAACATAAATGATCATTCTTTCTAACAGGCATCTTGCATCAGAAATACATATGCGGTATATTAATAATTTTAGCCTTTCTAAAGATTGCCTTTTATCTAGGACGCGTGGAAACACAAAGTCATATCACCATTTCCGTTTAAAAAAATGATAATACATATAGATAATGATAAGATTAAACATTCCTAAAAGAGTACGAAGAAGGAATTCGTGACTTCTAATAACCAAAAAATAATGAATAAAGAGGCCAGATGTAATTAATAGAATCATTTTGACATGGATATTCAAAAAAGACAGACATATTTGAAAAATCTATACTAACTGTTAAGCGGTTCATGAAATTTCATGTTATGCAGAAATATAATGTTGGAAATCTGAAGTCTCTTATAACAAACAGTGTGTGAATTATTTATTTGTGTACATAAAACGATGTTAATCAGTTTACAATGATTATACAGTCATATAATCACATAGAAAAGTCATAGTAAAGGACGTAACTATTTAAACAGCTAATCTTAGCCTGTTGAAGATCAACGGAATCGTGCAAAAAGCTGTCTGCATCATTTATCAATACATGTATTAGATTTTAATCGCACAAAGTAAAGTGTTATGGTGTATTAAGTTCTATACCTGCTTCATAAAATAATGTTTGAATTTTGAAGAAAGGCTCCCAAAATACCAGTATGAAAGAAATATGCAAGTACGTTTATCTCCTCTAGTGAAGAAAATGCTGTTAAATTTTTATGAACGCTTGATGCAACGCTACTGAAGTTTACTCTTATTAGCTTCGATCCAAAACAACCTATGGATGGAGTCTAAGAAAGGGGTTTGACCTTTTTAACCAATGAATTACGGTCCGGTGACCGTGTTAGCCAGTGAAATCATTGAACGGTAAACGGCATGGGATTACAAGCTACCACTCATGGTATAATGACTTTTACTCATTTACATTAAGTAATATACGTGTAAAACTTATAACATACAATTCTTGGTAAAATAACAATCACTTTCATATGCATCACTATGACGAAAAGAGACTGATCTTCATCTAATCATCGAAATAGGTTACTGAACGGTGGCTGGGTTACAGACGTTCCAAAGGGAGCATTGCTATTCTCAAAAGTAAAATCGTAAACTATAGCAATAATTCCTAAATCAAATAGCTTTGAAGTGTTTCTGAGACAGAAAATTATAAAGGTGTATTTTTCTATTTGTTAACTGAGACCTATAAAATGAGTAATTATCACCGCAGAGTCATCCAACAACAACAACAAATGTGTAAGCCTCAATGAATAGGAAATCATTAAATACATGTGATTAAGTACCATAGTAAGTGATATTATAGAATATTTCTGAAAGACTGACATGTTGAATAAGTAAATGCCTTCATATTAATCAATTTCATGAACTCTGCAACGACATATATAAGCTAAGAAATGTCATATGTAAGATTTTACTTGAATCTAAATTACTTTTAAATTTTTAAAAATCTTAGAACATTTTTTTTTTCATTTTTGATATTTGTGAAACATTAACTCATCTGATGGTATGCAGCTTTAAAATAGAAGCAAATATTTTGTTCCGGATCAGTTAATTCTGTTTACGTATAATATTTATGTGTGTTAAATAATAGAGATATTCGTCGCTACAACTCTTTCGAGAATCGACCAAAAGATTATGGAAACAATAAAATTTTACTGTTCATAAAACTTATAAAAATATTTTACAAGATATAACTTAATACCATACTTATGCATAATATATTGGTTTTGGTGAAGATTAATTGTTGATTACCTTGTTAGACAGAAGTTGTATCTTATCTTTTAGTTAAACAAACTTGTATATTTTTTTTGAATACATGATCAGGATTTTATGTCATGAATATCTTATATTCTAACTCAATTCTTAAAAAATGTATAGCATGCTAAAAGAAGATGCAGATAATGAGCTATAATACAGAGACAAAAAACTGGGCTTATCAAATAAAAAATATACTAAACCAAATAGGAATGTCTTACGTTTGGCTGCAACAAGATAATTTAAATATAAATGTATGTGTCATAAAACAAAGAATTTTAGATATCTACAAAAAAAAATGGTATTCAAGCATTAATAATTCTAACAGACTTTCGTCTTACAGTCATTTTAAACACGAAATTCAGTGCGAAAAGTATTTAAGCGTTATAAAGAAAGATAGCCATAGGATAATTTTAACCAAATTTAGACTATCAGCTCATAATCTCGAAATAGAAAAAGGAAGGCAGGATAATATTCCAAGAGAAAACAGAAAATGTCGACATTGTCCAAATTTAGTAGAGACAGAATATCATTTCTTCAATATGCCCGAAATATTACAATTTACGTTTTAGTTTTTATTTGTTTGGGTCGTCAGACCAAACAAATAATGGTAGCAAAATTTCAGACTCTAATGCTGTTAATTGCAAATGCCGAAAGTAGTCCGCTTTTTTGAAGCGGTTACTTTCCTTTATATGTAACACTAAGGCCGAAAAATTTCAGGGGAGATCAATGCGTAAATATGGTCACATGACAGGTGCATTAATTTTCAAGCAAAATAATTCCCGAATGGTCGAAGATTTCTAATATTGTTTTATTCTTTATAGATATACATGCTTATAGTAAGCGCCATGATTATTTACACAAGTGTTAAACATCAGTTAGCGGCGTTACAAACCCTAATTTAGAATAATATGGTTTTCTTCAAGCCGTTAACATATAAAGTCACCGTGGCCGAGGGGTTTGCGCGCTCGCTTAGGAAGCGAGAGGTCTGGAGTTCAAATCCCAGTTAAGGTAACTTATTTTTTTTTCAAATTGATTAAGTCAAATAAACATTGGATTGAATATCAGTGTTGCATTTAGTCTTATAGCCAATCTACTACAATGAAAACGCTGGAAAGCATTGGTGGCACTATACAAAAACAAATTGTTTTATTATCTCACAACCTTCACCTTTCTGACATTCTGAGACCCAAACAAATTCAGCGCCTTCTGTGCTTTGATTTAAACATGGCCTTCAATGCAGAAATTCGAAACACTAATGACAAGCACAAATATCAAAACAATTAATAATCTGGCAAGTTATCTGTACTACGGACATAACCTTACACACTTTTTCCTTATGATTACTGGTAAATGGGAGATAACTACGACAATAAATGATTAGTACATATACAACGGTTATGTCATCTTAGAAATATTATAATTGCCGTTTGATTTGTGATATCGATATAATATAACGTTAACAAATATCTTTCTACTTAGTTTCTTACATATTTAAGTGTATTTATGCCAACTCTCTGTTTATACTTGTCACCAATAATTCTCGGCACGTGAACAAATCTCTTTCTACTGTGTACATGTATAAGTATTTTTTATGCAATTATGTCGTAACCTTTGTTTATATTTGTCAACAATACTTCTCGGCAACGTTAACAAATATTTTTTCTCCTTTGTTTAAGTACATTTGTTTTTTTACATGTATAAGTATTTCTTATGCAAACTCTGTTACATATATCATAACATTTTTTCATACTCGTTAAAATACTTCTCGGCTAATTGTAACTTGTAAAACTTTACACCATACAGAATCTGATTTGACTATAAATTGTGTGTTTACAATTTTATGTTTAAATCAAATTTATGTTATGTTATGTTATGTTATGTTATGTTATGTTATGTTATGTTATGTTATGTTATGTTATGTTATGTTATGTTATGTTATGTTTTGTTATGTTATGTTATATTATGTTATGTTATGTTCTTACAACAAAGCAAGTAGATATTACATCTGATACTTGATCTTATAGGTTAAAATAGTTTGTTGGCATTCGACCTATCAGACAATGCTTAAAATGATACATTACTTATTGACTTCTACAGTTTATAAAAAAATCAATTGCAGTATTAAACAATGTCAGTTAAATTTTATATGTATTTTTGTTAATTATATTCGACTAAGTAACTAAACACTGTCTAAGCGTCATAAAGACATGCTCGTTATTGTTTACAAAATTTGATTACGTCCCAATTGCGGTTAAATATCAAATCAATATAAAAGTTATTTAAAATGATAATGACATAAAACATCATTTGATGTACTTTACCCTGTCCTGTGTGGACCATCATCGTCACTTTACCCTGTCCTGTGTGGACCATCATCGTCACTTTACCCTGTCCTGTGTGGACCATCATCGTCACTTTACCCTGTCCTGTGTGGACCATCATCGTCACTTTACCCTGTCCTGTGTGGACCATCATCGTCACTTTACCCTGTCCTGTGTGGACCATCATCGTCACTTAACCCTGTCCTGTGTGGACCATCATCGTCACAAAACAATACATATTCAATAAGACCCGGATACATAACAAATATGACGGTAAGATGTCGAAACCCTGTCTGCAAACCCTGTCTTTCACGTTTTATTAGAGTTGTTTTATGCTTTCCTACTTTTAACAGTTCATTTCCGTTATGTTAAAGTTTCTAAGTGTCTTTCTATGAAGAGATGTCTCAAACGGAACGCCGTAGTGCATTTTTAAAACATAAGGAATATATATTTCACATATATTGCATATTGTGATATTCCAATTTTGTTATATCATATTCATTGCCTTTTTAAACAATCATTTTGCTCGTTTTGTAGTTTGTAATGTATCAAGACGGATAAGGCGCTGTCCATGTAATTTTGTAAACGAATAAAATATAAATGATATAATTCCGTATGGGAGGAAATCAGGCTAAAGGATTAAGTAAACGTGAACTATGCAAGTTACAAAAACAAGTGAATATGCCAGTGGAGGAGATTCAACAATGGCACAGAGATTTCAAGAAGAACGCTAAGAATGGCCGTTATTTGAAAAGAGAACAGTTTAGGGAGGTTTATACGGATATGTTCGGCTCTGGTGCCTTAGACTTCGCTGATAATGTATTCCGAACATTTGATAGAGATGGAAACGGATGTGTTGATTTTGAGGAGTTCATTTTAGGAATTTATATGTCATCATCAAACGATATAGACTTGAAACTGAAATGGGCTTTCAATATGTACGATATGGATGGAAATGGTTCAATCGACAAACACGAACTATTTTCTATCATTAATGTAAATAATTTAGTTCTTCTATTTAGTTTCAAGCGCATCAAAGATATCTTAAAGATAATTATCAAATTGTTAAAATTGAGATAATCTTATTCTAAGACTATTTTCCCTCTTAAAAACCCCAAAAAATGTTTATTTTTAATTTATTTTAAGATTTTTTTTTAATTTTTTATGCTGGAAAAGTTATCTGTGATATTCTTTACATATTCTTTTCAGTTAGTTTATTGTATTTGTTTAATGTGATAGAAATTGCGACTGATAAGTTTATAATCATCTACGTAAATGTTTTGATAAATTTCAGTGCTCGTTTAATATGCATGGGGAAGAAAATGGCGAAAACCCCGAAGAACTTACTGAGAGTCTTTTCCGCGAGATGGACACAGACGGGAACGGTGAAATATCATGGGAGGAATTTTACACGACTGCATGTAAAGATAAAAGGGTGTTGCAGCTATTACATATGTGATAAAGTTACTTTAGTGGGGATATTTAAAAAGTAAAATGTGATAAATCACACTCCGTTCTTTTTTACAAACACTATTCTATTTCAACAGAAGTAACTGTATATATTTAGTTATAAAGTTATCAGTAAATATATGAAATAAGTCAGTTCGTTTATTTTATGACGTTTGCGGGCATAACATCAAATATAATTATATTTCTATATGTTTCAGATATTACAAGTTTAATTTACTAGACTTATTAGGCAATATCCCAAGGCTTGAAACATAGATAAACGATTAGAAAATTGCACTAATTCGATTTCAAAATGATTAACGCTGAAGCCTTTACAGGTCAATGTTTAAGATATCACTTGCATATTAGAGTTTACTCCCTTAGAAAGTGACTGCCTTAGTGCTTGCTTGTCGTGCTTAAATGAACACAAGATGAAGATTCCATTTACAACGATGATAAGTTTCCGTATCATGCCGTTACTGTATAAAAGTTAAAGATCAAGTGATCATCTCATGTACTGACGCTTGCTATGTAATTACATATGGTGTATAGTTGGATGAATTAACTAACCTTGCTCGAGATTACAAAGAAACAAAACTATTAAAACACAAATTCTATTTCTTTGTTAAATGAAAATGATTTAGAATAATGTCGTTCTTTGTCCGTTGTATAATAAGCTTAAATCATTCTTGAATTAAGATTCCACCCATAACGTGTGTGTAGGTTAACATATATGTTAATCGAAATCACACAGAAATCGAGACTATAATGACCGCTATAGACAAGTGGCCACTATATGCAGGTTGAAATTTATTATTGTACTAAGTTATGATGCAATATCACTCGATATGGATGTATTCTGTTGAAATATATTCATTTTACAAAAGCAAATATTATATTAGTTTGCAATATACGAAGTAGTTACAATTGATATTCACAATAAATCAGCTTTAAGGGAAAATACTGTTGCTTTCAGTCTTATCCTTTGTTGTATTGATTGTAAATATCATGTAGGTAAATATGTTCTTATATGACAAATAAAATATGTTTAAACCAATAAATTAGCTTTCTTATGTAAAATAGTAAGTCAAAGTTATAACCTATCTGACAGAATTTAAATGAGTATAGTTAACGCAGGGTCACGTTATGTAATGCTGACCGTTAACAATTTTTTTACCAACATTCAAACATTATGTCAAGGACTTACAAGAGTAAGAGTACAAATGGTACATGTTTATGTACAAATTTACTCGTAATTATTACTATAGTAAATGTATAAGTGGAGACTTTTACAAATTGAAAATAAACAGGTTTTTAACATAAACATCTAAAATAGGTTGAACACAAAGATTTCGTTCATTGTTTCTACCAGTTATGTAAATAAATAGGCTGTGGGAAATTAGATGGCACAGCGAATAATAAAATGCTTAAACTATTATAGAGCAATATCATTCTTGAAGCAACGAAAACTACCAAAAAAAGGCATAAAAGATCCTGACTTGATATTATTGCGTATGTGAAACATATCTTTCGTCCCTTAGCACGGGCAATTTTACCTTTTAAGACAGATGTGTCGAATCTTTTATTTGACATAAAAGTAAACGCAAAGTATATTTATAAACTTAAATCAATTTTGCAAGAAAGAACACTGAACACATCGTTATACTGTATCGTCCATGACGATTGATATAATAACTTTCATTTTGGTCGGTACCTGTCACAGGGTATCGGCAAAATATTTGAAGAATTCTGGATGGCAAAAATAAATAAAGACCTGGAGTAACATACATTCGGACCAGCTGCCGATGTCCTGACTGAAGCCGACGGGAGTGAGCAGTGTCGTTGAGGAACGGCACTAGGAGGTGCGAATCCCCAAGAGTGAAGAGACGGCAATATCTCAAAATAAATATCTGTCTTATACCATCGGGGTAATTGCTCGGATGTAAATTATCACCACTTTGTGTCCTTTAAATGCATATCTGGTGACATGTCTGGGGTCCCTATTTGACAGCGTAAGTTTTAATTTGTGCATTAACACTTAAATACATCATTAAGTGCGCACGCGCGCGCACACACTCGCACACACACACGCGCACTCACATACTCATACATTAATATATTTTACAATTTTTACCTTAATGACCTTCACATATATTGAAGAGATGAATTTAGAAAAGTACGCAGTGTTGAAATAACACACATTCATTTGTGTTTGTAAAAGTACACGATAAGTTTAGCCTTGAAATCGGACACGGTTTAATGCATGCTAACATTCAGGTAAACTTATTTAAGCCTAACATAAATTTGAAATATTAAAAGATGTTAGAGTAAAGAGAAAATTTAATAATCTACCGTTGTACATCACGTAAAAGAAAAGAAGGTTTAAAATAATGACCTTGGTCTGAAAGATAACTGTTAGACAAAGTGTAACCTATTTGACTTGATAAGAGTTCAACAAAAAGTCAGTACGTTTAGGCCAATGACTTTGAATATCAGTCGTGGAATATTAAAACAAAGTTTCAAGTAATTTGTCGGAACTCTATTAACAGAAAGACAGGTACAGTTTATTTTTTATTTTTGCTGTACTTATATTGCTCATTCGCCAGTTACCTGAACAAAATTTTTCTTCATTTGCTTTTTGGCAATTACTTTGGTTAAGTTGTAGAGTGTTTTATATGGAAGTCAAAATACTACTTTGTTTACATTTTGCTACTTTAATGACACATACTATCATAATTTGAGCTACTTTCTTCAGGAGGTAATGAGCATCTCATATGCTCTAAAATCATTATTCAAACGATATACTTCTCATAAAGAAGTAAAAATCTAATCGTTTCAGCATAATGTGCCTTTAAATCTTTATATATCAATACAATACATATATGTGTGTTTAAAGAACACAATTTTTTATGGTTTTATTTCATAAATATGATGACTTTGTTTACAGTTTGCTACTTAAATGACGCATAATATCATAATTTGAGTTACTTTCTTCAAGTAATAATCATCTAATATGCACTAAAACCATTATTTAAACGATATACTTGCCCTTTTTAAAGAAGTAAAAATCTAATCAATCAGAAGCTTAATGTGCCTTTAAAACATTATATATCAATACAATACATATATGTGTGTCTAATGTCATTAGGTATGATTTATTTACTTCGCTTAAGCATTCTTTTTTTTCTTTTTTTTGTGTGTCCTTTTTCAATTTGTCATCTTTTGTTTCTTTCGCGTTTGACAATAAGTACAGATATTTTATGGCTAACTTCCTTTATATTGAAGACAAAATACCACATTTTTGCTACCTTTTTGACAAACGATTTCATATACAACATGTTTTAATTTAGTTGATGAACAAGATACATATTCAAGACACATAGATGCATCGAGTTTATTAAATGAGTGCACGATTTATCTTTGGTTTTGATATTTCAGGTTAAAATGGAATCCACCAAGAACCTTTCCTTTCTAGTCGTTGTGATATCATTAGTTTACTTCTACATGTTTCGTTGGTCATCCATGCCTTCTGTTGTTACAACTACTGAGTTGCATGATAATTATGATTACATCGTAGTGGGTGCCGGATCAGCAGGGTCAGTTGTTGCTTCACGTCTGTCAGAAGATCCAGATGTGACTGTTCTACTTTTAGAAGCAGGGGGAGACTACACCGTTAACGATTCATATCATATCCCTCTGCATTTCTTTGAACTACAAAAAACAAATGCTGACTGGGAATACTATACAGTTCCACAGAAAGAATCACATTTAGGTATGCTTGAAAATCGTTCTTACTGGCCGAGAGGTAAGCTTCTTGGCGGATCAAGCATATTTAACTCTATGCAATATACACGTGGAAGTAAGCATGATTATGATGAGTGGGCTGATTTGGGTTGTAAGGGATGGAGCTACAAAGATGTCCTTCCGTATTTTCTGAAATCAGAAGATATGAGGATCGATAGTTTAAAAAACTCTAAATATCATAACGTTGGTGGATATATTGGTGTTAGCACTGGTGGCGTTACACCGATTGCTGATGTATATCTGAAGGCTGGTGAAGAAATGGGATATAAACTAACTGATTATAATGGGGAAATACAAGAAGGATGGAGCCCCATGCAACTAACAATACGCAATGGTGTACGAAGCAGCACTTCGTTAGAATACCTTGGTCGAGCTATTGGACGACAAAATCTTCATGTAGCTATCGATGCATTGGTTTCAAAGATTGACATAAAAGGTAAAGAGGCCAAAGGTATATATTTTATAAAAAATGGACGGAAACAATACATAAAAGCAAACAAGGAAATAATAATTTCTGGAGGCGCAGTAAATTCTCCTCAGCTTCTGATGTTGTCGGGTATTGGGCCAAAGAAGCATTTGGAGGAGCTGAATATCAATGTAGTGGCTGATTTACCGGTCGGCGATAACCTTCAAGACCATCTATTACTGCACACGTATGCTAGTATGACCGAAGATATTGGTATCACCCCAGAAAAGATACAAAGCTGGAAAACACAATTACAATATAAGCTGTTTGGTACTGGTATATTATCTATAGCTGGATTAGACGCAACGTCATTTTTCTGCACATACGATACAAAGGAAAAGGATTGCGCTGCTGATATACAGTTCATGATGTATAGTGTAGCAATGTCAGACAATTTCATCATCCTCAAAGATGACGTAGCGAAGGATTTTCTTTTTCCCAAAGACTCCTTGGGATTCACAACAGTCATAAGCCTTTTGGATCCAAAAAGTGTTGGCACAATTAGACTTAAAAGCGCTGATCCATTCGATTACCCTTTAATTGATCCACAATATTTGACAGATAAACGTGATATTGACGCCTATGTCAGAGCTTTCCGTCTTTGGGAAAAATACCTTTCAACACCTTCTATGAAAAAGATAGGAGCCAGCATAGACAAAATGAATCTTAAAATTTGCTCGCAATACGAGTTTCGTTCAGATGATTATTGGATTTGCATAACAAAACACCTGGCTTATACTGTTTATCATCCAGCTGGCACGTGCAAAATGGGCAGAAAAGATGACCCGACAGCGGTCGTCGATTCGGAGTTGAAGGTCAAAGGCATAAAGGGACTGCGTGTCGTCGATGCATCCATCATGCCTAACGTTATATCAGGAAACACAAATGCCCCTGTTATAATGATCGCAGAAAAAGCTTCTGATATGATTAGAGGAAAGTATACAGTGAAAGAGTTCAAGCGATCTTTGTAGAACTTTAATTCATATTAACTTTCATGCATTTGACGTCCGTTTAATGTATCAATTTGAAGAAGAAAAAACACCGTTTTAGTGAACTTACAAAACAACAACAGCAAAAAGCATAATCTACTTATACACATTTTTATATCTACAGCAGTTAAAGACATAGCCACAAGACTTTGTCAGTATGTTATTTGACCAAGACTTTCAACATTCGAGCTGTAAAATGTCTTACTTTTATTTTCTTTATTCTACAAATTTTATTTTCAAAATGGTGAAACGACCTTTGAATCGATATAGCGTCTTGTCAGTGTCCGCGGAAGGAAGGTCGAATTATCCTGGCTTTTTCGGAGCACAAGGAAATGAATGTTCTATGACACTAGTAGTTAGACTGATGATCTTGTTGTTTCTATGGTAATCTAATTCCATTTACTGGACATGAATTTGAAATCATTTTTCCAAAACATATTTTGGTGGTCACGAACGCTGATGAACGTTAAATTCGGAAATATTTTAACCAAATAAATACTGGACTGGCAAACGCTTCAAAACGTTCCGGAAAAATCGATATACGATATCCTCGCGAAGGGACCATCAGAAATATTTTTCTTGCATGTCAGACAGGATTATCAACGTTTACACCGGTGTTAGAAAACCCTGTCTTACACCCCCATGTAAGACAAGTTGCGTGTTTTAAATGATGTCATTCCCACGCGCCTTTTATGAATGAATTGCGTTCTTTAGATGGCGTCATTTTTGCGTTATGAATGAAGTTGTAAATTCATACGTTACTATAAAAAAAGTGCTAAATGAAAATATCAGTTTTCGTAATGTCTTTTAAAAAATCATTAATTTGTAAAATGCAAAAAAAAAGAAAGAAAAAAAGAATCAAACACCGACTGGCGTCACAGACAGGAATATCTAGCTCTCGGGTAACTGTTTAGTGGAAACTCGACAGAGCCTCGTTACCGCCAAAATCAGTTACCCTTGAGCTAGATATTCCGGTCTGTACCGGCAGCCGGTGTAAGATTCTTATAATCTACTACATGCGCACGCGATAGCTACTACGTGCGCACGTACACGTTATTATGTGCTGTTATTTGCGCACGCAATGATTGACCAACGTAGAGGCTATCGCGTGCGCACATAGTAGCTATCGCGTGCGCACGTAGTAGCTATCGTATACGCACGTAATTATATCACAGATAAAATACCTTACCATCAAGCCGCGGTCGGATTACACAAAATTAATGACCATGTTAGTGACCACAGTCTGTCAGAACTTTCTGGTGCAGTGCTTATTTACTTTCAATGATTGTTTGAGAGCTTCAAAATTATTTACTACGGGTTTTTTTACTAATACGATAGAATTATCCATCAAAGATACTAAAATAAGCGATCGGAGCCGGTAAATCTTATCACATATTTGCTCATCTCACACTCTCAAAATTGAACCGATTGTTACAGGGTTGTGATTTCAAAACCCCCTATCTAACTCAATGGATGATTATTTTTCTCGCTTACCTTGGCATATAGGAAACTAAATTTTCAAGTGAGACTTCTTTGAATACTCATAAAAATAATTTTCAAGTTCACAACATTTTGGAGAAGCAGACAGTGACCCAGGTGGTTGACGTTCCACAGTTACCAAGATACAGTTTCACTATTTTGCAATCATTTTCTACTACTCCAATTATTACGACAAAAGTCAATGAGAATAAATTTTAATGAGATTCATCATAAAGAAAACATCATCGTTACTAAAATGTATGTTTACAGCATATGAATGTTTGCGAGTAATCCCGTCCATATTTTTAAAGTGGGCAACAAAGATTTCAGAAATCTACAAATCACGAAGATTTTAAACTGATTCAATTGATTTTACCTTGTGTTCAAGGAATGTTAAATACCATGCAAATAGTGAATTGAAGGGTTTAATATAAATAATACTGTAAATTCTAAAATTGCGTTATTTTTAGTTACAACCTGTATGAAAGTTTCTCACGTTCGATATTTTTGTCTCATTGAAGCGTGAAAGTATTATATAAATATGAAAAGATCCCGTCGTATAAGCCGAAAACGATAACGTTTACATTATAAGGTCTTACCACTATGTGCAAGTTATTAATTTATTACATTTTGCATTATTTTTGCAATATAGAAGAATGTAAGTGTGCTTTAAGAGTAGCGTTCATGTTATGAAGCTCTCACATTTTGAACACTGCAATTATGCAGTGAGTTTTTAAATTTCAGTATATATTTTTATAGTTTGTCACGTCAGTTAACGTTTTCACTTTTATGAATCTGTAATTAAATAAATCTTTTGCACAATTAAAAGTTAAACTTATAACGGTTAATAATGCTGACATCAATGATCCTGAAGGACCAGAAAAATAAAACAACACTGAAGTGAAGTACCGGCAACTTTTTACAGTTGTTACACGGCATTTGCTGTTGTGAAGCATAAAAATCTGGAAACAAAGTTTGAGAACATTAAGTTTAACACAGATTCGCAGTCAACAGACTTAGTTAAAGTCAACACAGTCCATATTTAGGTGATAGATGACTGAATAAATATAGTAATGGAAGAAAATACATATAATAATATATTCCATTAAAGATAGAAACGGGAAGATATGTCGGTTTAAATGTACACGAATAATTTTGTCACTTTTGTCCAGTTAATGTTGTAGAAGATGAGACTCATTTTCTTTTAACTGCATTAAATATAATGACTTACGAGAAAACCTTTTATCAAAATGTAAAGATAGAAATCCTGATTTTGAACATATGTCTGAAGTAAATAAGTTAGTATATGCTGTCAATTATCATTATGTGCATGTTGCTAAATTTTTTAGTTGAAGCTATTAACAGAAGAAGAATGTCTCTGTACATAAATTAATTAAAAAATGTTGTAAATGTATTTGCTCTAATGATATGTACATGAATGACAACTGTATATGTACCATATATGTGATTTGATACCGAAAGTAATCGGAAAAAAGTAACCTTGTATACTTCCTATTTCTCTTATAATGCAGATGTTATTATGTCCAAGAACATTTTAATTCCTACATGTATTTGTTCGTGCATGTATATAATTAGTTAATATCTAAATTTGTTATAAATTGTATATTTTTGAAAATGATTAATTAATTAAATGACTTGTAGGCCCAACGTGGCCGGTTGATGTAAAAATAAATATGTATCGTTATTATACATGTACATAACACAATGTCACTATAATAAATCAAAGCACAGAAGGCGCTGAATTTGTTTGGGTCTCAGAATGTACGAAAGGTGCAGGTTGTGAGATTATATGTATAGTGCCACCAATGCTTTCCAGCGTTTTAATTGTAGTAAATTGGCTATAAGACTTATTGCAACACTGATATGCAATCCAATGTTTATTTGACTTAAACAATTTGAAAAAAAATGGTTTGCCTTTACTAGGATTTGAACTCCAGACCTCTCGCTTCATAGGCGAGCGCGAAAACCCTTCAGCCACGGTGAATTTATATGTGAACGGCCTGAAGAAAACCATATTATTCTAAATTAGGGCTTGTAACGACTTTAACTGTTGTTTAACACAGATGTAAATAATCCTGGAGCTTACTATAAGCATGTATATTTATAAAGAATCAAAGGGATGCAAGTTCTGTGGTATTTTCTGATCTTTGCAATCTTAATCGTACTGTATATCTGTATGCATTTTCCTGCATAAGTTTATTTTTATGTATTATAATTCATTTTGCAAGGCACCAGAGTTTGATACATACGGAATTCTGCATAACTAGAGATGCATCAAAAAATCATTTATGTTCATTTTTTACGACAGTCACACGTTATCCTTGCATATCATGGCTACTTCCTTAACAAAGACACTTAAAAAAGAATTTAAAAAAAATGTTTCCTCGACTTGGATTTGAACTCCAGACCTCTCACTGCTAAAGCGAGCGCGTTACCCCTGCACCACGGAGAAGTTATACAAATGAAATCTGATAACATCAGGTCATTCTAGATTTAGAAAACTTCTATTGCATTTCGGGTTTGTTATCCTTATTAATTTCGAGGGATAAACCTGTTGTTTAAAATTGAAGTAAATAATTTAGCGAAAATCTTCTCGCCCAAACAGTCCGACATGTAGAATCTATATATTCCACTACTCGGTTTGTGTAGTATTCGGTAATCGACATGTATGTATGTAGTTAATGCTTAATGAGGGTCCATCCGCCCTTTCGGGCACAAAATGCAGCTTGCGCTGTCGAGTACGGACCCCGGACATGTCACCAGTCATGTCCTTAAAGAGTTAATTTTGAAGCACAAAATGGTGATAATTTACCTCCATGCAATTTCCACGGAGTATTAGCCAAAGATATGAATTTTGAGCCGAAAAGTAGGTCACTGTACGGCGGTCAATGAGAACCTAAATGTACAGTAACCTGTGACAATAGGAAAGGTGTTTTTAGCCCTGAAAAGGGCTGTTGGTGCCATAGGCCTGCCTTACAAGCCGTCTATCTGTACTAGGGGCTCACGCACCCTAGTACACCATCCTCGTCGTCTCAGCCTACTTTGTAGGGCCACTCCCCTCGGCATTAGTCAGGACATCGGCAGCTGGTCCGCAGAAGTGACGAAGTAGGAGTTCCGTAAGGAAAAATTTAAGTTGACTACCAGCCAAGTTGTAAATCTTCTGCCGATGCCCTGTGCCTTCTCAGCGACGTGCACGCTCCGAGGGGAAGTGAGAAGTCGGTAATCGACAGCGCTAAAAATAGTATTTTCATTGATAAAATCATATTCATCCGCGTAATTTGTGATTGTGCATTTATTGACAATTCTATAAGCCAACGCTATTTTTAAACTTTGAATGCGTTGTTATTTGTTGGATACTTGTAACAAAATAAAAATATTTCTTTCTTTTAAATCGCTATTTTTAAACTGTTTTGAGAACTACTTGTTGTTAGGTTTGTTGTGAACTTCTGTGTCAGAGGTTGAATGTCCGCTTTGTTTTTACTTAATTTCGATCAGAAAATACAATAAAACAATATTAGAAATCTTCGACC